TAAGAGGGGCAGCTACACGTTGAACTCACCACCCCTTCCCCAGGCCAGTGCAGCGCCACACGGAGGGAGGCCTCCCCTGAGCCTCTCGGTTCTTCCAGGAGGAAGAGAACCCAAAGGTAACAACCAGCTACGGCCAGCATTGTGGGTCACTTTGCAGGAGCCTCTACTCTAATGTTGCACCACAGGGATTGATGGGGAATCTACAGGGCTCAGCCACTGGGAATTTGATTGTGACAGAGGGCAGAGGGGCTTGCAACACAGCACACAGATTTTGGCAGACCAAGTTCATATCTGTAGTCCCCAAGTAGTAATCCCAGCCAGCAGCACTGCTCACCTCCAGAACCAAGTTGGGAATGCACTCTAAGGGCCTTGGCGGGGTGTAGATACATCTGCCTGATATAGATCCTGAAACTAGAAAATTTGCCAGCCTTAGAGCCTGGTTTCCCCACACCCAGGCAAGGCGTTGAATCACAGTCCCACCCACTGGAGAGAGTGTCTTGCAGTCCCATCAGACCAGAAGCTGGAAGCTATGTGGTCCAGCGGTGATTGAAGTGACAAGCAGGTGGGCAGAGCCAATTGCTCCCAGAGCAAAGCCAGTACCATACATGGGACGGTCCTGTGCTTACACATACAGGCAGGGGGATTAATCCATAGCCAAGGCTGAGGATAGCTCCTGGCCCCTCCCATCTGAAAAGCCTTGACTTGCATCTTGATAATGATTTCCTTTTTTTTTGGATGTGACAGGGACACCTAAAGCTCATGCAGCAAGATAAAAAACATCAAACTAAAAAGCTCTGCACAGCAACAGAAGCCATCAACAAAGTGAAAAGACAACCTCCAGAATGGGAAAAGTATCTGCAGAGCACACATCTGATGAGGGGTTAATGTCCAAAATGTATAAGGAACCCATACAACTCAATAGCAAAAAACCAAATAACTCAATTCAAAACTGGGCACAGTACTTACATAGGCATCTCTTGAAAGACATACAGATGGCCAACAAGTACATGAAAAGGTGCTCAATCACTAGTCATTAGGGGAGTGCAAATTAAACTCAACACTGAGGTATCAGCTCACATCTCTTAGCATGGTCATCATCAAAAAGACAAGAGATAACAAATGCCTGTGAGGGTGTGGAGAAAACGGACCCCTTATGTTGCACTGTTGGTGGGATTGTAAACTGGTGCAGCCACTATGGAAAACAGTATGGAGGATCCTTCCAAAAATTAAAAGTACAACTCCCATATGATCAACCAATTCCATTTCTGAGAATAGATCCAAAAAAGCCAACACTAACTTGAAAACACACTTGTACTCCCATGTCCACAGCAGCATCATTTACAAGAGTCAAGACATGGAAACAATCTAAGTGTCCATCAATGGCTACATGAATAAAGAAGTTATGGTATATATACACAACGGAATATTATTAAGCCATGAAAAATGAGGAAATCCTACCATTTACAACAGCATGGATGGACCTCGATGGCATTATGCTAAGTGAAATAAGTCAGACAGAGACAAATACTGTATGACCTCAGTTAACATGTGGGGTGTGGGGGATAAAGTTTAGGAATCCCCCAGGTTTACACCAATGGGTTAACAAGGCATAAAGAAATACAAAGTCATAAAATGCTCACTCCTGAGTTTGGGTAAATCAGATTGGCACCACAAGAATGGGGGGGTGCAAAGACACACCAAGAGTAGGGAGGAACAAAGGTGCCAGGATTAGGGAGGTGCAAAGGCACCCCAAAATAGAGAGGGGGTGCAGAGCCCCCAAAATAGAGGGAGAGGCAAAGGCCTAAAATAGAAATGGCACAAAGGTGCCCAATATTCAGGTATATGAAATGAACAAGATTAGATTTTCAGGGCAGAAGCACCCCCAATTTAGTACTATGGCAGAAAAGCTGCTTTGGCAGAATAGGACCAGGTTAGGTAAATTGGTGAATTGGATTATGGACCACTGCGCTGCAGGCAAATCAGCCCAGAGAGGAGATGGTTAACAAAAGAACAGGTACCTTATTAACCCTGAGGTTATTCCCATGGTCTTATCCTCTAGGCTAGCTAAGGTAACAGGCAAGGCGCCTCCTGTCTGCCATTAACAACCTTCCTCCCGACTTGCCCGGCGCCCAGATTTTGTTTTATATTGACCCAAACCCCAAACACTCTATCTTCAAAAACCCCCTTTCCCCTCACGTCCCCAAGTTAATGTTCCCAGTTTGTCTCTTTGTACACGTCCATCACATTTGTAAGCCTTCTGATCTGAATAAATACGGGGCAAGGACCCTTATTCGGGGCTCTTGTCTTTTCCCAGACATTAGCCATCTCTCGCTTTAATCCTGTGTCTGCTCTTTTGCTGGCCAAAAGAGAACTTTAGACTTAGAGCCTAGGACAGTGGGGGAAAAAACCCATCCAGTCTCATAGAAAAAGAAATCAGTCAGAATTGTGGTTACCAGAGGTAGAAGATGGTAGAAGGGGAAATTGGAGGCAAGTGGTCAAAAGGTACAAACTTCCAATGATAAGAGAAATAAGTACTCGGGATATAATGTGTAATGTGATGACTGTAGTTACCACTGCTGTATGAGCTATAGGACAGGTGTTAACAGTCAATCCTAAGAGTGCTCATCACAAGGAGAACTTTTTTTTCTTTATTCGTTTTTATCTATCTTTCATTTTATTGTATTTCTATGAGATGATGGCTATTAGCTAAACCTATTGTCATAATCGCTTCCCAAACCACCACGCAGTACACCTTAAACTTATACAGTGATGTACATCAACTATTTCTCGATAAAACTGGAAAAAAACCCAAACAAAACTATACATGAGTAAATTCAACAGCACATGAAATATAGCTCAATAAAGTTGTAAAAAAAACCAAAAACCAAAAAACAAAAAACAAAAAAAAGGGACACCTGGGTGGCTCAGTCAGTTCAGCATCCGACTTCGGCTCAGGACATGATCTCACAGTTCGTGGGTTCGAGCCCCACATGGGGCTCTGAGCTGATAGTGCAGAGCCTACTTGAGATTCTCTCTTTCCCTCACTCTCTGCCCCTCCTCTAGTTTCTCTCTCTCAAAAATAAATAAACATCAGGGGCGCCTGGGTGGCGCAGGCGGTTAAGCGTCCGACTTCAGCCAGGTCACGATCTCGCGGTCTGTGAGTTCGAGCCCTGCGTCGGGCTCTGGGCTGATGGCTCAGAGCCTGGAGCCTGTTTCCGATTCTGTGTCTCCCTCTCTCTCTGCCCCTCCCCCGTTCATGCTCTGTCTCTCTCTGTCCCAAAAATAAATAAACGTTGAAATAAATAAATAAATAAATAAACATTAAAAACGAACTCATTACTGTTTGGCTTTAGAAAATAATACACATCAATATAAGCTTCATTATATTAAGTAGGGAAAAAAACTATATCAAAATAACTATTAAATAATTTATTAAAAAGAATTTTTTTTAATATTTATTTATTTTTGAGACAGAGCACGAACAGGGGAGGGTCAGAGAGAGGGAGACACAGAATCTGAAACAGGC